ACTTTAGGGACATCTTAATTTTAGGTAACAAAAGGGAAGAGTTTCATATTTTTTAGCGACAAGCGAAAAGATCATTGGTCCTTCGCATTGTTACGCTTTCAGTTGAAACGCAAATATAATTATCAAGTATAGCGATTGAACTTGTATCGATCTCTATTAACTATAAAAATAGAGGATGTTTCCAAGGTAAATGGAGGATTCCGAGAGATACATTAAGTGAAGACTAAACTGCTGGCAAATGTTCCGAGGCTGTGCCGAATATACGGAGCATATGGAAAGCGTACCTAAAGATGCGTCATCAGATGATTTTAGCTTAATCGGAGTTTGTAAATTTTACAGAGTAATTTATCCTGAACTGAACTTTAGATATTTAGAAATTTATTATTTTATTTTTTCTCTATAACTGAATTAATATCATATTAATATGAGTGAAGATCGCACGAGATGGAAAATTTAAAAATCAAGGTCAACAGCTTTTCACAATAACTGGATGGAGGTTTCGTTCTCGGTGACCCAGTGAGCTTGAAACGCAACCTTTGCAGCGGTACAACGATGACGACGATTCTTCCCTCTCGACCGAGAGAACGAATCAGGCTAAAATCATCTGTTGACGCAACATCACCAACTAGCTGCGACAGCAACGCGCACTCTGCTAGAGAAAGTCATTACTTTGAGCACGTTCTACCTGGTAATAGAGTTTGTGGCCTTCAAAGTAAATTGTTTTCTGCGCACAGTGAATTCCTTGACGATGATAATCGTCGACATAACCGTGGTCGTTGAATAGTTGAGACAGAAGATCTGCGCGATTTTTTTTTAAATTTCGCACTCTGCTTTTTGCTGTGTGTGGTGAGCAAACATTATGTTCACACAAAGTCTTCGCGAATCTTCTTAAAAAATAAATGAAGATTTAAATCAACTTAAAGGGACACTGGAGCGGTTATAGTATTGCAATGAGAAAACTCTCTCATTTAAATATAACTAAATAATGAAAAAGATATCGATAGTTCGGAATGTCGTAAAAAAGACAGAGCGTGATATGTCGGTGCTTTTCTAGCTAATAGACTACCCCGACACTTATTTTGCCATTAATGCAAACTGTATATATGTCCGCAATTATACATATTATTCTAATATATTCAAATCTTCTACTTTAAAAAATGGTTGCAAGTTTTAGACGGAATAGAAAATAATCGACATCACAAATAGCTTTTGCTTTAGGTGAGGTTGTGCTCGAGCGTTGGACCGTTTATTTACGTCGACCATTATGCGGCGACGACGTGCAGCCATGTTGTTTTTACGATTATTCCGCAAGCATACTCTTGCAGTGATCTTTTGTGGCGAACAAACCTTCTCGTTTGTATTTGTGTTGCAACTCGGCGAGGTGAATCTTCACTTGAATATTCACGTTGAATATTCTGTTACATTACATGCATACATTAAGATGCGCTCTTAAAATTTAAAATTTCTCAAAGAGATCAATCATAAAGTTCATTTTTCAATTACTAAGATATTAGTAAATTATTGTAAATAATATAATATAGATACAATTTTGAAACGTTTACGAGTTTCAAAATCATCACAATTGAAAACTGAAGAAATGGAACGCGTTAGTTCTTCTTTTCTTGTACAAATATTAGCTCTTTTTCTAACGAGATATATGTGTAGCAAAATTTTTTCGAAATATTTCTACAATAGTGATTTTTTTAACGTTGCGTCGAGGATTATTGATGAAGTTAAACGCTTCAACCACAAAAATACGTAGCTAAAGTATCCTGACCGAAATGGCGTGCGGTAACGACCTCTTCCACAATGCCGAAGTCGCTTTAACCATCCGACACATCGCGACGACTAAACTGTTGTTAAACACGCTAGCGACACTAACGATGGCAACCAAGCTATCGTACGACGACCATACTTTCTGGACACGAAAACTTGATCGGGGGCACGGTAATTTTATATAAACAGATAGACGCGCACCGTCGCATAAAATTTAAGATGATACGAGCAAGAGCATTGAATTTTAAAACAAAAAAGATTTGTCTCGTAATTAATAATGTTTCGGCACGTGGAAATTGATAGTAATTAGGCTTGCTATAACTTATTTAAATCCTTCAATAAGTAGGAAATTATATGATGAGCTTGAATATGATGTTGAATATGATGAGCTGTTTTCTACGCTACGATATGTAAGCTAATTGTGTTTACATCTACGTTTAAATATTAGATTGTAAAATAATCGGCATCTTGAGCGCGGTTAATTAACAGAAATCAAGTAAGGAACGTTATCGTCGAACGCTGACTTATGGCTGATAACCCAAACCTTAATTGATCTTACAAGGAGACGACCAACCTTTCCCTTTCTGAATATCAAAAGTTCTGGCTGCAGTTTGGCCGTCAAAGATTATCTTCCCCCACCTCGCACATAACACCAATTAATTTGCTTTCTATCAACATTCAAAATATTAACATTGATTTACGTCGATTTTATATGTTTAGTATCATTTAGTACGCTTTATAATCAAAGATCAGTCACAAGTTTTGCTGATCCGAATTCTTGTGTTGTGCGTGTGTATGTGTCTAACCATTCCGTGAACGTAATTACACGGTGGATTACAAGAGAAAGAAACCACATAGGTCGGTAGAGGCTATAGTCGCTAGACTAGTATGCCGCGACAATATAACGAAGTATAATAGCTACGCTATGCGATTATCGTCCTAATAAGTACAACGCGCACACAGTGATGCAAGAACGCGTCTCTCTCACACGCGAAAACGGGATAAGAATGTAAGAAACTGACGAGTAGACCGTAGAGTTGAAACTCGCACAAATTATGCGATTGATCGAAGACCATAAATGGGAGCTGTCTCGACTACTGTTCCATAATAATGCACCACTCGATATCATTCGTTGTTTTTAATATTGCGCAAAACAGCAATATTATTTAAGCATTGTTGTAAGAGTGGTAAGAGCAACCGGTGCTCGTGCAATCAGTTAATTACGAGTATTTTCGGCGCAAGATATTATAGTTCACTCAATACACACTTTGACATTTATGGATTACAGATAAGGAATTACAAATGAACGCGTAATACGATTATTATTTGGATCGCTCACGATTACCACGGACGATAGGATCTATTTCTGGACGCGAGGTGAAACGATAAAGGACGGGCGTTTGGGGTGGGAAAAAGGGGGTGCGTAATGGGATAATATCCGCTCGCGATGGCCCTTTTACCCTTTAACGATGATTCCTCGGTTTCCAGCAAATTGCGCGGGAGAGGAGCCCGACTGATGGTCGACGAGACGAAGAGTTACTCGATTCAATCTCATTTTGAGTTGAAACATATCAGATAATTCTCTAGTACTTTTACGATAAATAAAGAGAATTGGTTTCTGTTTTTTTTTTTTATGAGAAGATAATTAATTCTAGCCCTGCGAACCTATTTATATATTTATAACAGACTTCTTCACCGATCTGACAAATACCCCAAACGTCTTGTAGATACCTATATAAATCTGATAGATGATTGTGAAATTAAATATAGATATAGGTAGGTAGTAGTGAAATCAAACATAGGTTTTGCATAAATATCACGTATCAATTCGCGTGTTTAGGCTCCGAGCGATCCCTCTGTCCTTTTCGTGAATTCTCATAACATTTCTCGTATATAAAAACTGTATGTCTATAGAATAGTCGACATATGTTCGTGTGTCTGTGTAAACATTGCTCAAAAACACGCGATCCTTCAATCGGGTTCATGCAAGGCATAATAAGAGGGTCTTTCTCAGACGTATTATTCGCGTTATTTAACAGTAAATCAAAGTTGGAAATGTAGACCATTATTGCACGCTTGTAATATCTCCGCATCGCTTACTTCAAAATTGCAAATGTCGAGTAAAGATTCGCATTGGATTACGCTAATAAGTAAGTTGGTTATTATGCATTTCAAAAATTTATTTGTAAATTCGTTATGATATAATTTTGCAATTCACGAAAGAGAAAAAGAAAGATAGATTACCTGGTCAAATAAATTGACCGTCTTGTCTTGAAAAGTACGCAATCTTTGCGATTGAAACCACACATACGAGTGGGACAGCAAAGCTTGCGACGATTTGTTGTCGCTAGATACAAGACCGCAAAGGGTTAATCCATTAGCGAAACCGTCGCATAAGACTTGAGGGCGGCGGTTTGCTTTCGCGATATTTACCCGCTACGCAGGTTGCGTATCTAGCGGCCGACTCTCTACTCCTTTATTGGTCTCGTGAAATTGATAATATCATGTACTTTCTCGTTACATATGCAAATCACTGGTCGTATGCGGCGTTTAGTATTACGATTTTGTATTACTCGCGCGCTATTACTGCGAGAGATAAATGCTTAATGACTCTGATAGCTGGTCATCGGGCATACTAGGAGACGGAATAACGAAGGATAATCGAGCGGGATGCGAAATGATGTGTCCGACGAGCATAAATTACATACAAATTACGAGATATCGTCCGTCGAAAACTTTGGCTATCTGTCGCGAGTTCCGATTATATCATTAACCTTATAACGACATAGACACATGAATAATAAAGACCGATTAAATGCAAATTTAATCCTTTATAGCATATAGATTTCGTCCAGTGGCTATCATAATGACATTGTGATATCATGTATGGAACAAAATAGTTGAAATCAAGCTTTCATACATAACAGTAGAATAATAAGTTGAAATAAATGCGACGATTCACTCCATGTAAAACTTTTACAAGTAAGTGCCCAGTAATGTACAAAATGTCTTTTGTGTTTGAGTATTCCTTGCTAAGACTCTCTCTCTTGCTAGGTCTCTTTAACTATGATCTCTTTAAAAGTACCGATAATTTATTGAATTGAAGAACCCTCGAAATGCGTACTTTAAGCGATAACATGGTATGCGACAATGTCCAAAAGTGTCGGCAGTGCTTGAAACGTCATTTATCAACGTTCTTTTCTCTTTCTTTTTTTTCTACGCAGTGGCCGGAGCATTTCCAAGGAGGATCGGTCATCCTTATCAGAATCGAACACCACCGAAAAGAAAGAAACCGAGGACGAGTTTCACGAGGCTGCAAATCGCGGAACTGGAAAAGCGTTTTCACAAACAGAAATACCTGGCCTCCGCCGAGCGAGCGGCGTTGGCGAAGTCGTTGAAGATGACGGATGCCCAGGTGAAGACTTGGTTTCAAAATAGGCGGACGAAATGGAGGTGAGCTCGATAAATAAAGATATTTCAGTATTGGATTAGCGCAGTGAGATGCTGCTGATCGCCAGTATGTAAGACGAGATGTTTAGTCATTTCGTTTATCATACATCGTTATTAGTGGTGTCAATAAACAGTGGTAGCATTTATAAGAGATGACGATGATTCGTCGGGAACCATTGTTTCTTGAGAGCAACTAATTTTTTAAAAGAAGGGAAGAAAACGCGGGTTGGAAACCGCGTCCGGAATGTTAATAGCGAGTCAGCCGCAGGCTGACGCGTATATCTGTAAACGCATTGGCAGTCAAATGTATTGGAGTCTCTTCAAGATAAGGAAGGACGAAAACACGTCATTTAGATAAAAGGGGGGCTCGTTCTCCGTGGCACGCGGGATCCCCCGATATCAGGGGCGTCTCGACGACGGCGAGACGGACTCTAGCGACGACATTCTCCAAGCAGTGTACGATATACATACTTGCCGTACCCCGTTCTTACCATTCCTCTTTTCGTCTCACTATACGTTCCTCGACATTTTTAAAATCGTCGTCACGTTATGTGGAATCTTTGAATTCGTTCTACGAAGCATCGTGATAAACTTGCAGAGGAGTTTGGAGTGGAACGATGATTGTTCTAGAATGAGCGAGTCCCTGCTCGGCAGTCCCTGTCCAAAGTTGTGCTCATCTTGTACCTCAAGTCCATTTTTTTTGTATCAGCGAGGAAACAATTTGTTAATTCTTTTCTAATTTGACACGCGTACGCGGTATATCTATTTTTTTATGTAGTGAATTATTCATTTCTGTAATCTATATCGAGTATCTGTGTGATTTTGGAAAAATTACATGTGTCACACAGAGATATTTGTTTATTGAAACTATCAAAGAACTTGCCGTCATCCTGAAAAAGAGCAGACGAAAAATTCAATTTGAAATCCAACGACACGTTATCTATCTCACAATATGCTTGGAAATGTTATCGCTGTGACAGGTACATTTGTCTCTAAAACATTTTGACGAGTTAACTTCATGTCGGAGTGACAAGTACATCATTTTTAATTAAAGATACACGCACGGCAGGATAATCATGTGTGCGATCAATAACGCGTCACCGCGCGCACGACAAATTTTTCCTTTTCCGAGTTGTAATATATAGTTATGAGAAATAGGAATTGAAAACATATATATATATATATATATATATATATATATATATATATATATACGAGTGAAATTAATTAAAGGCAATTTTGGTATAACATTTTATTAAGTTGGCATAGGGAATTCGGCAGCGATGTCATCAATTGTGACTCTCCGGGACTCTAATTCGTATATTGATTTGCGTTTTGATTGTGTCCGTTGCGACAGTTGTTGGTTCCCCGATCGGTTCTCATCGCGAACACTGCGCCCGCCCTCTATAAATCTCTGGACTCACTTGTACACTTTACATTGACTTAAACAACTGTCTCCATACTAAGGTACCATTCTACAATAAATTTTCCCACTTTTCACACTTTCTGACCACAAAAAAATATAAAAAGGCGTTCTTCCTCGATGGTACACTCTAACAATAAGACAGCCATCTTCGATACTATATTACGCATGCGCGGATAACAGGATTGCCAACACAAATACGTAATATGTGCTCAGATAGTTGCTTTATAATATCATCCAATAAATTTCAGAGAAATATCGGTTTCGTGTTCATTATTGCCTTTAATTAATTAATAATTTAATTAAATTCCCTCGTGTTTATGTGTGTATATATATGTACACACACACACACACACACACACACACACACATATATATATATAAAATTTGTACTCTTTTGCAATTTTCTCCTCTTGTTATTTTTCTCCGTCGATAAACTTTATTTAGCCGCTATGTGCTTCGCATTATTTCACTGCGAGGAGATTATGTTCAAAATCTTTATAGATCTTTATAGACAAGCAATTCAAATAGCTCAAATCTCAGATTTCGAAAACATTTGCATCTCTCAGACTCGGAACTATATTCGAACAATTAGTGCTGTCGTAATTGTTAGCTGCTCGGATTCAAGTCTAAATTATCTCGACGAATTAAGTATCACGTATTGATGAATGCACGAGCACGTATAATCGTCATAACGCACACTCGGGTGTGACGCGGCGCGGTCCAGCCGCGTGCAGCTGCGTTTAAAATAACGAGATGACTGGTAGGCAGAGATGAGATAACTCGAACTCAATAATTCAGGTACCTAACAGCTTAGCTCTGTCCCCGTACATAATGTAGTCTCTACCCGCCCGTCGTGCGCGCACCCGTTCCCGCCTCTCAGTCCCCATCCACCCTGTGCTTTGACTACCAATCCTCCGCGCCCCGTCACCTCCTTCAGTCTCTAAACCTCCTCCTTCGTAAGAGAGAGCTTCTTGGCTTTTAAACTGTCAAACGTTCGAATCCGTTCCGGTTGAATCGTTCCGATCTCTGCCGTCGAGGCCGAGTTGGGCCAACCCCACCGATTTGCCTCGTTAAACATTCATCTGTTACAGTGTGTAGGACCAAGCGGATAACCATTTGAACACGATTCGGCAGGCAAACGATATATCGTGCGAGGGCACGAGGTAATATAGCGCCGGGTAGTATAAAAAATCAATCGGTATTACCGCGGTACCACGAGTTACAAAATAGTTAGAGTTTCGTCAGGGATCGGCTTCTAACAATGATTTTCGTTTTGGTGTGATGTACGTACGTGAAAAATTGTGCTACACAAGTAGACACGAAGTCGTGTTTGGAACGACACGTTAAAAGGAGACATGTATTTTCTCTCTTTGCAATTTAGTGATTGGTACGCGTGATGTGTCTCATAATAAATATATAAAAAATGGATCACATGCGTAACCAACGGCGTGCCTGGATCAAAATAAAACAATTTCTTTTTCTTTTTGCAAAAATTGAAATGCATCATTTCTATGTAATATTTTTGTAGAATGTTATCAGAGAAGTCTTCTAAGGCAAATAGCGATAAATAAAATATAGCGGATTAATTAAATAGAAAGAACCGCAAATTCATTCTTACTCCTGGACCAAACGAACTCTATACCGAGATATAAAGCATACGCTAAAGTATAAAGATAAGAGTAATGTGTCCCAGGTTGCGAGAGAATATGGTTATATGCCGGCCGCAGCGAATGGGGCGAGGCTGGCTGCGTCGGGGCTGCAAAATGTAATCGGCACGGTGTCGTCAATTATTAATCGCTAACCGCGTTAATTACTTGCAGCGGCGTAGGTGCACCTGTCACTGGCGCAATAGCGTAGCCGCAGTGGATTTCAGAGCGGTGGGGGAACGTGAGTGAAATTCAATTGCACGGTGCTAATAAAAGCGTCGTCAACACGCGCTAAATCTTGCTCGTTTCACTTTGGATAGCACTACTCTTTCGAACTGGTTCTTGTCGACAAACGACTCATGCTATACAAACGAGTGTAACTTAATTTAGAACTTATTTCAAATGCTGTCCGTGATTTATATACAAAATATTACGATAACGTATGGTAATTAACGGGCTCAAACTGGTTAGATTAAAATTTTGTCAAATCAATCTTTTTCTCAAAAAGGAAACTGGAAGAGAGAGAGAGAGAGAGAGAGAGAGAGAGAGAGAGAGAGAGGGAGAGAGAAAGAGAGAGAGAGAGAAAGAGAGAGAAATTAAAAACTAATACAAGCCGTACTCTTATATTTATCGCACAATATATATATATATATATATATATATATATATATATATATATATATAACTTTTTGTAACACATTACATAAGATATATTATAAATAGGTAGACTGTATCTAGAGAAGAGTTAAACAGGTTGATTTGTAACGATAAATAATGAGAATTACGGTGAAGTAGGTCGAAGCTGTTCACTGAAAGACGACTTTTGGGAATCGGAAAGTAAATTTCAAAGGTAACGAGTAATTGTCGTTTTCGGTACCATTGGGTACAATCGTTCTCTCGTTATATCCAGGTATTGAGTGAAGAAAATTACAGGAAGTTCGAGTCAAGTCGTCTTGCTCAACTCGTAACCAAAAAGGTAGGCAAAAAGAGGGTCAACGGGATGGTACCTGTGCCGCGATAGGCCGGAACGTGGCATAATTCGTGAGGAGACACGAGACGAGAGCCACCGGTCTTTAGAGAGACGTTCACGGGAGATACACAGAGAAAAACCAGTTTTAGGAAATTATAACAATCATCACCGTTATCGGGAAAGGTCGGAATCAACTGTGCCCAATTTTTCTAGTTCTTCCTGTTACAAGAATTCGTCGACAAAACAAGTAGCAGAAAAATCATTTAAATAAATTTAGATTTTGCAATATTTATTTCTTCTCCTGATATACTTTCAATTTCTTTCAGCTACGATACAATTGTTGTCCTTTTTCCTAGATGATTTTTAGGAAAACTTTAGATTTTCTTTCGACAGGAATAGATCTAAATTTATCGAAATCATTTTTCCCTTGTTCTTCGACTTTTAGCAGCCTTCATTAATAAGTTAAATTACATCCAAAGATTCAAACAATTGTTTTAACAAATTATGATATATAAACCACGGTTTACCGTGCGATCGTGCGCGCAAGCTCTATCGACCTAACCAACCAACCAACCAACGAGTCGGCCATTTTGCGGCACCCTAATAGACTTAGCGCTAGAAAACAGACATCGCGCGAGTCACTCTGTGACAAACCGGTAGCTCCGGTTTAGTGACGAATTGAATTAACTTTATTACATCCGTCTTCTCTTCCCTCCATCCCCTTCTCATTGTCTCTCTCTTTTTCTTCTGTTTTCTAACTAACTACTATTCTATTTTTGTCACGCTTTATTTCATCTTGTTTCCTCTATATTGTTCTAGCTTAATTCCGACGAAGCACAAATCGTTTGTAATACAAATGTTTTAAATAATCGAACAATTTAAACAGAATTTCAAGACTGCATCTTGATGATATATTGAAACAGTTTGAATGATGGAATTAGACAATAAATATTATTTTGATATTATTTCTTTGATAAACTGATGTTATTTCCTCCAAAATGATCAAATGATAGTCTAAACTACAAATGCTACGAGTCAGTGTAGATCAAGCAAATCTATTATCGGTTTCGTCCATATTATACAAACTCAAATGTGATTTAAAAATTATGATAAAATATTTTGCATTCAAATTATATTTTCAAATGTATAAAAAAATACACACTTAATAGAATAATGGGCGTTTGATTCTGTTCCAGGCGGCAGACAGCAGAGGAAAGGGAGGCCGAGAGGCAAGCCGCGAATCGGCTAATGTTGTCTTTACAGGCCGAGGCTCTCGGCAAGGTGACGTATCCGACGACGGGTATATCTGGACATCCAGGAAGCGCACCGGTGTCTAGTTTAGATACAAGACAACAAACGTCGACAGCTCTAACCCACCCGGCGGTGGGTCAGTGGGCTTCTCCTTATGGGCCACCACAGCCACTGGCCGAACCGATCTGCTGAAGTGTTTGTGATGATACATGGCATTATTCGAGAGACTATTACCGATTGAATCGCCCTCAGCATGCATTTTTGTGTTATGTGTCTTTTCTTACGACAAAAGTTTTTTTACAGGAAAATCATCTCGTCAAATGCATCGCAACCGCATGCCTTTTCCCTCTCCTCGCTTTGCGATCTAAAGTGCAAATATAAGTCATACATTGTCAGAACAATTTCAATCTTTCTTGGAGGTTCTCTTCGCACGATCTTATAAGATAGATGCATCCCAAGCAGAGCGACTGATAAGGAATATCGTTAAATAATTCAACATTTGTACTGAATAAAGATGTTAATTTTGTCACACACACACACACACACACACACACACAAATGTGCACGGGCTCTTACATTTTAGATACCATCGACTGAAATTATTTTCTAAGGAAATTACCAATTGGCAAATTTACCGTTGATCATTGGCATTAACATTTATTTTCGTGGATATCGGCTAGTCTTGTAAGACAAGGTAAGCTGAATAATAGCTTTCTCACGAATTTCTTATTGATTTCAATTTGATATTTCGCGCTCGTCACTTTTATGATAAATGTTTCAAAAATTGTGTTAAATCTAAAAAATTTGTTTAACTATTATGAAAAGTAATTAATTTTAGAGACGCGTCCTTACGTTAATCTTTAAACACTGATGCAACTTTCTTTTAATTTGCTTCACAAAATAAAAACAAAGAACACTTTCGTACGAATTGGACATAAGATAATATTATAGTGGAGAGATTTTTTAGAATAATAATTACGTATCGTGTGTAGGCTACTAGTATTGCCTTCTTTCTGCCTTATGATATTCAGACTACTACCATTACAAACACGAACGTCCTAAAAAAAAGAGCACCGCGGAAACGATTATAAATTGCCTTACACAGCGCGTACTCCCACGATTGTATTTATTAGCTAACGGCTCAAGGTTTTATTGCCATTATGATCGTAACGTTTTAAAAGAGTGGTTAACATGCGACCAACCGGTATCACATAATACTAACAATAGTCGTGAATTTATCATGTACGAGTAATCGAGGGCGCATTAAAAGCGTCCGGTTCTTCTTTTCGAAATGGGGATAATCATCGCCGATTGGTCTCGGTTGACGCGACATTATCGACACGTACGTGTCTTTCAATCGCGATGGAATAAAGTTTCGGAGATAAAAGAACCTCTCCGAACGTTATTTCCAGATCTCGCTTTAATGGGCTGCTTGTTCGATAATGTCTCTTCACAACTGACATACTCGATCTTTTCTACTAAATAGAAGAGACGGACGTGCGAGAAGTTCGATTTGGTCATAAATGTTATTCCTGCGGTGTAGTATAGCTACATATCTCTATCCTTAAAAAGTGAGCTGTATTTCTACAGTTTTCAGTTCTAAAAGTCTTAGAATATATAAATATTCTAAAATCTAAAAAGCTCTCCTTAAGCTCTGTAAATTTCACTCTTTAATCACTAATATATCAGTTAATATAATTAATGCAATATGTGCCATTTTTAAATATTTACATATTCTATGACTTCTATAACCAAAAGCTGTAACAATGGAGGGGGATATTGATCTCCTAAAATATCATTTTATTTTAAAGCCTAATCTTCCTTTTTCTTTATCACACGCGCGCATTAAATTTTTTTCAAATCGAAATATACTTTTTTTATCTAACAGAAAGAAAAATTACGATATTTTACATATACCTTTGTTATGCACAACAACGTTTTCAAAAATATTTATTATATTATCGGCGAGAGAAATAGTATCGGCAAATACAGTGTTACTAATTTTATCAATACTACTAAAATATGTGAGTACTTTTCGATACCGCGACAAATAGAAGACTATCTACATTCTCCAGAATAATCACACAGCACTAACGTATGGTTGATCGCACGCTTCTAAATATTCGATACGTTCTCAAATCATTAATATATTCCTGCGTGAATTCGGCAAAGAATGTACACGAACATCGCAGGATTAACTCGAGAAAATTGTTTATCATCGTAAGCATGAAAACAAAGACTCGTATTGACGTCTAAAGTGAGCTAACGAAAAAAAATACAACCAACGTGACATATCTGTGTACATATTAGGCGTTATAGTTACTGTAATTAGGCTGTACTTGTACGATACGAAATACTTGTATACGCAAAAGTGCTGTCGTGCTAATGCACGTATCGACAGCGTACGTTCTATTTAATTGTTATAGATACGTCCTGTATATGCATGTGTGTGTATATATGCACATATATATACATATACATGTATATATACATATATATTACTTCGTGCGAGCTACAACACGGCAAAATGCAATCAAGATTATATTATCCCGGAATAATTATTATACAAGGTGCCTCATAATGCTCGTTTAAATATAAACTATCATATTTCTCAACGAAAATGGAACAAATTTTTTTACAGAAATTATAATAATGCATCATTTTCTTATTTATTTAATTTTTTAATTGACGAGAATCAACCAATACGTATTGAGTTGCTTTGACACACGCTGGATCTACATGTACGTAAATCTGGACTATCTCTCATTAATCTAAATTTGTTCGCTAAAGAAACAAATAATTAAAAAACGGTGTGTTATCTCAATTTATGCAAAATGGAAATGTTGCTCCAGTTTGGTTCAGAAATATTGTGGTATTTTTTAAGCAATTATTACGAGACACTCCGTATGTATGTGTGTGCGCGTGTATGTGTATTGCTACCGCACACACTACAGTCGTCGTCATCATCGTTATCATCATCATCTCTCTTTCTCTCTCTCTCTCTCTCTTTCTCTCTCTCTTTCTCTCAAGTAAGAAATTTTAAATATAATTTTAAGTTATGTTAAGTCGTAATTATTATTAATAGTAAACGATGTGATGTTATGTAAGTATATACGTGTAATACGTTGTATATATACGGAGAAGAATCGAAATGCATATAAAATAATTTAACTGCTGTACAAACACACATTTCTCGATCTGAAACTACGTAATTTTCTTGCGAATATAATTGTTGTCAATGAGTTTTACGTAAAAGAAAATAGAAATTATATTAATTATGGCAGGAATAATTAGCAATCATAACAGCATTTCCTTAATAAGCATTAATTGTTCCGGTTAATTTTTCAATATGCAGGTAATTTTTATAATTTCTTTAGGCGCTAATTTGAAAAGTTTATTGTTTTCATTATATCACATGACTGCAATGGCAGTTTTATTTAAGATAATGGCATAAAATAACAAAATACTCCCATCACGATTTCTTTGTTATATCTTATCATTTATTATGAGAGAATTTAATATCATATATATATTTCTGTATTTAAAAAAAAATATATTTTATTTTTTTCGATGCTATCAGTTATATTTGTACAATTGATTCATTTAATAAGTATCGAGGAAGTATTTGGCTTAACGTAATGAGCACACATTACTTCGCGTCAGTCAAATAATTTCTACATTTCTTTCAAAAGCCCGATTACCCATTATTTTTATTTCATTGTTGTTTGAAATAACTATCTTGCCACACGATTATAGAATCTCGATCCTTTGTACATCCGCATACACATAAGTAAACAGTCAATTTTTCGTTTTCTTTTTTATCTTTCCCCATCCTCCTTTCTCTTTCTCTCTCTCTCTCTCTCTCTCTCTCTCTCTCTCTCTCTCTCTCTCTCTCTCTCTCTCTCT